CTCGCCTCACCTGAACCCCATAGAGAATCTATGGGGCATTGCCAAGAGAAAGATGAGAGACATGAGACCGAACAATGCAGAAGAGCTGAAGGCTGCTATTGAAGCATCCTGGTCTTCCATAACATCTCAGCAGTGCCACAGGCTGATAGCTTCCATGCCACGCCGCATTGAGGCAGCAATTGCTGCAAAAGGGGCCCAAACCAAGTACTGAGTACATATGCATGCTTATACTTTTCAGAGGTGCGATATTGTTCTATGTACAATCCTTGTTTTATTGATTGCATGTAATATTCTAATTTTCTGAGTTTGTGGATTTGGGGTTTTCATGAGCTGTAAGCCATAATCATCACAATTATGACAAATCACGGCTTGAACTATCTTGCTTTGCATGTAATGAGTCTACCTCATATATTAGTTTCACCTTTTAAGTTGCATTACTGAAATAAATGAACTTTTGCACGATATTCTAATTTTTCGAGTTTCACCTGTATAGTATATTATACCCTATGGACAACAATAGTAAGTTATTTAACATAATAATCCCAGCTTCTAGTCCGGATTCAGCAACAACTTTTCCATTGGTAGAACATGTCTCAGACTTTCTCTCTCTTCTTGACTTCTGCCTTCTGGGAATTTCCATCCAACAACCCAGGGCTTGATCAATTAAGAGTAAATGTTCCATGATTATTTGCGCTAAAATAACTTGTGGTATTTAACTCATGAACGCACAATTTACAATTTGCACATTACATATTGCATGATTCATCAGAATCCAGAAGCTCCTTTTAACAAGGGTGCCCCCAGACCCTGTGCCCCCATGTGAATGAGTATGGGGTACATAGTACCCCTACTCATTCGCCAAAAAATTACTAGTGTGAGTGTAGGTGTTGCCCACAGGAAAAAAAAAGACACTTCTCCCAAAGCCTGACTTCTACTGAATGACACGCTACTTCTCCTGCTTAAAAAATGAGGGGGGAAGAGACCAATAAAATAACAAGTGGTGGGCCACCCATTGATGTCATTCACAGAGGGCCAATGGCATTATGGCATTATAAGGGGCAGGGCCACCTGATGTTGTCATTGACTGGGGCAAGACCAATGATATCACAAGGTGCCGGGCCTCCTGGTGACATCATTGACCCTGTATGGTCAATGGTGAGTGCTAGCTCTTAACAACCAGCAGTATTTGTTAAATAGCATGTGGCTAGACCACAACCTATTTAATTAATGCTTTTCTTTATATTTTTTTGTGAATGGACTTTTAACTAGATTTATGCGGTATTTACCAAACATTTCTTATTTTATCAGGAAACTTATAGTACAGGTGTCAAACTAGCGGCCCTCCAGCTGTTACCAAACTACAAATCCCATGAGGCATTGCAAGATTGACAGTTACAAGCATGACTCCTAAAGGCAGAGGCATTATGGGACTTGTAGTTTTGCAAGAACTGGAGGACCTCCAGTTTGACACCCCTGACCTATAGTGACCTGAGCGTTTCAATATTGACATGCAATATTTGGATACATGATACAAATATAGTATGTGATCTCCTTTAGTTAACTGAGCCCATAGACAGTAGAAGACAGTAGATCTCTATACTTCTATTTGATATGTATGTCTTTTTTTTCACACTCTTGTGAACCTGTTGTCTTCTCTGTTTAAAATGTGCAACTCACCATCCTTGAAAGAATGTCCCTTCTTCTAGAGTGAAGGTAGATAGCTAAGTCTTCCCCGATAGAATTTACAGCATATGCAGGGTTAATTGCTTGTGTTTGAGTGTTGCGTCTTATGGTTGTACAAGTTTCTCTATCATTGCTCAATGTATATTCTGTAGTCCTTTAGTAAGTCAGCCCCTAGCCCTACATATACTTATTATAAAACCAAAGGGAGTTTTTAAGTAAGTTGAAAGATTTTTTTGGGAAAAAATAAAAAGTGTAAAAATACACTAATGCCTTAAAATGAAACACAGCATCTACAGTAAACAATTACTTGTTTTTTCAACTTTATATCAAGCTCTTAGACAATTATGTTTCACTTTATGACAATCTACAGTAAACAATTATTCGTTTTTGCAACTTTATATCAAGCTCTTAGACAATTATGTTTCACAATTATGTTTTTTTATGAAAATGGGAGATGTTCAGCTTGAAATGTATGAGATTATTTTTATAAACAACTTTGTAGTGCCATAGTCAGCGTTCATTAAAAGACCTCATATGGATCATGCTGTTTGGTAGATAAGATTTATATGAGTTGGATGCACTACACATACTAAGATGAAGCACTAATGGTTTGGAGATGTTCAAACGCCATTAGTTAGTGATGGCCATGCTGTGTTTCTAGGTCCTTTGTTTTTAATGTGTGGACAAACTTCAAAAGTTTTGTTGGAAGGTTTTTAAGTTTCAGTAGGAAGCTGTTTCCAATCTTAAAGGGAATATGCAGTGGTTTGGCACATAAGGAACTTAATATAGTCAGGAGCAAACAAATGTAATTTTAAAATATTGTATATTAAAAGTTTACATTCACTTTTTGAAGCAGCTTCAGGCTCCTTTTTACATACGTATCTTTGTCTTTTTACAGCTTATTTAAAAAGCATTTTGTTTACAGACTTTGTAGCTAGAGGTGCAATTTACACATTGAAGTGGATGACTCATCAGTAGTGACGCATCCCTTATTGTACATCCAAAAATAATACACCTACTGTTCTTGTGTACTTACCAGCTAGAGAAAGTACAGTGCAATCCTTCTCACACCTGCACCCTTTGCAGCTTTTTTTCTCCGACCCACCATCTTGGATTCAGTCTTGAAGTCTCCTGACATGGTGTGATATCATGAAAGACTCCAAGTTCTATGGGTGGGCCAAGGGCTATGCCATGCTCACCTTGGCGATGAATGAGGAGGTGAGAGCAATCACCAGAAGAAAAAGGTACTTGTCTACCAAAATAAAAATTTACAAATGTGTAATGTGGGGGGGTTATAATTATTCCTGGTGTTTCTAAGTGAAGGTCCGCTTTATGTTTCAGTCTGATACTGTACCTAAAACTACAAGGCAGAGAGCCACTTCTGTGCTGCCTCTCTAGTTAATCCATAGTAAGGCTGTGAATCGGGGGTAATTTTTAGACTTAAATTTATTTAAAAAAAAAAATTGACAGTATAATGGTAATACGATTTTCAATTTGTTTGTTCAGTCTTTCATAATTTTTTATTATATTAAATACAGGAATTTGTAGATTATGTACTGGAGTGAGAAATCATCAATTTGCAATCATTCTGTGTTCTTACATCCTTGAATAATGAGAAGTTGCAATTAAGCAGAACTATTGTGTCAGGAATGGACTCGCCATGGGTGGTTGGACTCGCCTGCCTTGTGGGCTGCAGTACCAGGGCTAGCCAGCGGGTTCTCTCAGCAACCAGAAGCTCACTCCTGCAGTCAGCCATCACCTGAGGCTGATTGCAGGAGGTGTATTTAAGGAATGACCAGACCTGCAGTCAGTGCCTTGTTGTACTGTTTCGCTTGGCCCCGGTATCCTGATCCTGCTTTCTTCTACCCTGATTCTGCATGAACTCTGCCTGTACTGACCTCGGCTAGTCCTGACCACTTTCCCGCCTGCTCCTGGTACCTTGTTTGCACGTTTGCTACCTACCCAGCTTGCCTGACTACGTTTAGTGTTGTATGTATGGTTGTTTGTTGAAGGTGTGGTTTGTTGCACTGTGTTGTTTTGCACTGCATTTATGTATTGTTAGGCTTTAATAAATTGTATTGTTATACTATACCTGAAGCCTGCGTTCCCCTGTGTCAGTCCACACACTTCTGGTCATACCCAGATTCCTGACATTACAACAAGGCCATTCCTGACCAGAAGTGGCTGCACAGGGAAGCCATCTTGGCTTGTTGCTGGGATGGATGCATCCTGATGAGGTTGTGTATTTGTCTCTGCTAGTCTTTGATGACAGAGATTATGCCTATCAGACTCTGAAGGAGTATGCCAGGGATCAGCTGCTAGAATGCATACGGATCGCTCATTTCCTAGTGGATCAGGGCACAGAGTTCTCTGAGGTGCAGCCATTGATTCAGGTTTGTGCAGAGTTGGCTTCGTCTGGTGCCCCTGAGGGCAGGGATAACTTTTTGCCGCCATTTAGTGCAGACCAGGCAGAGTCCCTGGTATGGTTATTAGAGGATGATGTGAATTGCTTCTTGGAGCATTATTCTGCATGTTCACAACAGGTGCTAAGGGATTGTATAAACGCAGTGCAGTCTTTGACCAGACAGGCTTTGTGTAAGCTGAGCTTTGTTCAACCCGTACTGCAGACATGGTCAGATTTGTTACACCCAGCCTCAGTCAGCTTGCAACAAACCAGTCCTGCTTCTAATTATTCCTCTGCTCAAAGCTCTCTTCCTGCATTCCCAACAGCACCCACAGTGACAGCCCAGTATACCCTGCTATCTACCACATGTCAGTCCCCTGCTCCCACTCGCTGCACCTATCCTGCCTTTAACCCTGTAAAGAAGTCCTCTGTAGCAACTGCTCCTTCTTTTGTTCCATCCCCCAGCTCTTCTCTGCCTACAGCTGCTCTATCCATTTGCAAACCTGCGCTTACTTACAGTGCTCCAGTAACTAAAACCAGGAAAAGGCGAAAATTCTTTCCAACCAGTACCATCCCACCAGTATCCAAACCGGTCAGCCTGCCGTCTGTGAACCCGCCTTCCGTTGTTCAGCCTGATGCCCTGATGCCTGATGACCCAGTGTACGCTACCCAGCCTGATAACCCGATCTGGCCTGGTGACCCGGACTGGCCTGATGACCCGGTCCGGCCTGATGATCCTACCCAGCCTGATGATCCTATCCAGCTTGATGATCTGGTGCCCGCTACCCAGCCTGATGGCCCGATCTGGCTTGATGACCCTATCCGGCCTGATGACCCGATCCAGCCTGATGACCCAATCCAGCCTGATGACCCGATCAAGCCTGATGACCCGGTGTTCGTGATCCAGCCTAATGACCCGATCCAGCCTGATGACCCGTTCAAGCCTGATGACCCGGAGTTCGTGATCCAGCCTGATGACCTGATCCAGCCTGGTGCCTCGGTGCCCGTGGTCCGGCCTGGTGCCTCGGTGCCCGTGGTCCGGCCTAGTGCCTCGGTGCCCTTGGTCCGGCCTGGTGACTCGGTGTCCATGGTCCGGCCTGGTGACTCGGTGCCCCATGGTGACTCAGGCCCGCTGTCGTGCCAGATGACTTGGTGCCCGCTGTTGTGCCAGTTGACCCGGTGCCCGCTGTCGAGCTTGGTGACTCGGTGCCCGCTGTTCAGCCAGATGACTCGGTGCCCGCTGTCGTGCCAGATGACTCAGAGCCCGCTGTCGTGCCAGATGACTCGGAGCCCACTGTCATGCCAGTTGACCCGGTGCCCGCTGTCGTGCCAGTTGACTTGGTGCCCGCTGTCGAGCTTGGTGACTTGGTGCCCGCTGTTCTGCCAGTTGACTCGGTGCCCGCCGCTTGTGAATTGGTGCTTGGTGACTGTCTGACCTCGGCTAGTCCTGACCACTTTCCCCTGCTCCTGGTACCTTGTTTGCACGTTTGCTACCGACCCGGCCTGCCTGACTAGGTTTAGTGTTGTATGTATGGTTGTTTGTTGAAGGTGTGGTTTGTTGCACTGTGTTATGTTTTGCACTGCGTTTATGTATTGTTAGGCTTTAATAAATTGTATTGTTATACTATACCTGAAGCCTGTTTTTCCCTGTGTCAGTCCACACACTTCTGGTCATACCCAGATTCCTGACATATTGTATGCTCTCCCCATGTAAATATATGTTTACAAACCATACATAGAAATAAGGTTTTGAAAACGTTAACAAATATACTGTTGAGATTATTTAGATCAACTGATCTCTTGCACGTAAACTTACAAAATTAAGCGTATTTGTTCCATTAAAGTCTTGGACTCCTTTAAGTTTGAGAAAGAGTAGAATACTGTTCTTTGAAGTACATCAAGATCTGGAAGTACATATTAATGGACTCTACAACATGAGGGTGGATATGTTACACTTTGCTCCTCCATTTAAACCATGGGTGGAAGGAAATACAATCACTCGATTCCCTCATCAACAATCAGCATTGATGAGGGAATCCCCCTCACAGTGCTACTGTGTTCTGCTGAGAGGGAGAACTATTGCTGGCAGAACACAATCATGTCTGCTAGTGGTTATAGCAGTAATAGCATGTAAAAAATCAGACAGGCAGGTTGTACCCAAGTTGATCAATGGATTAGCTTGGGTACAACCAACCTGCCCACAGATGGATTGAATCTTGGCTGGTGCCTGCTGAACTGGCTGAGATTTGATCCATTTGGTATTGTTCTGTCACATGTTCTGTCCCCCTCTGTAATGTACAGCGCTGAGCGAACTATTGGCGCTTTATAAATACTGTATATAATAATAATAATTTGGACAGTCTTAAGGACATTATTATATGAGAGTCTTATCCTCATCTAGTAGCCTAAATAGAATGTCAATTACTAGACTTTAGCTCCGGCAGCAGACTGGTCAGCCTTCATGGGGATCTGGCAGCTTAATACTGAGCTGAAACGTATGCTCTTACAAGGAGAGAATGGAAGTGTATAACAGCACACATATCTATCACTGAGAAATAAGGCTTCACTATTATAATAGCCTAATAATGACCATTCAGAGCCTTACATATTCATATTTCTGAATGGTTCTATTTAACATGCATTAATGTTAGAATAAAAGGTATGTTTATTTAATAGGCCTGGTTCTTGGAGATTTAGACTAATATTGAAATTTACCATGGGGCAGTGATGCCTTCAAAACTTCACTTATACAAGGGTTCAGCCAAGAGTCAACAAAGCATTCTTTATGATCTATTGACCCTCACTGCAGCAGCACATGTGCATTAAAATAAATACAAGATTATACATCTTACTGTAATTATACTAATATACTAAACCCACTGCAGAATTTTTATAATGGCTTGAATTTTATTTGGTGATTGTGGCCTGTGGTTGCATCAACATTCCAAATTTTTTTTTTCATTTTTAACAAATCTCGTGGGTATATCTAACGAACGTGGTTACATTTAAATAAGTGTAGCCTAGCTTTCACCCCTGTGTTTATGGCTCATTCTGGTCCTTAACTTGTGCAGGTGCGTACACAGAGAGCACCCATAGAAATGTAGTAATCTGTATTGTTATAGTTTTCTTTGCTTTAATGTGTTCTTGATTGGACCAGCTTGTCAGTTTCTATATTCCAATGCTCCAGTAATGTGCTTGAAGAAATGGTAACAGTTTTCAGTTACAGATGGAATGATTAGGTATCCTTTCTTTATGCACTATAAACATCTGGGACTTATTTAAAGGTTTTATGTGGTTTGGAGTGCTTTGTGCAGCAAGTGACAACCTCTGCTATGAGATTTCTACATTTTACATAGCCGGATCACAAAAGCAAGAATTGGAAATGAGCCCTGCATAGAACATTTGGACCTGGAACACTAACATTAACACAAAGATGTCTGCACATGGTTAGCGGCTGTAAAGTGCAGCCTTGCAAGGATGTTGCATATAACAGAAAAGGTGCTATGTGTGCAGATTAGATGGAAGTGTCGGAGTGAATGTACATCCAGTGATTTTGCATAATGAGGTGTGCAGAATCCCGCGGGAGGTTGTTAAAACAGACAAGACAGCCTGTGGTAAACAACTAGGAAGGTAGTCTTTGAAAGCAGATGGCTTTGAAATCCTGGCAAATGGCTGTTTTATAAGTAAAAATCTGTTATTTCAGGACAAGGTTCACATTCCCCCTCCTATCTCACATGCATATTTTAAACCTGCATTTTTCAGTACTAAAATTCTGTTTCTAATTGAACATTAGTTGTACAGCTGACTGTAAACATGTTGGAGGATGAAAGAGATTAGTACCTTAAACGGTTTCATCAATACATAATTCACAGACAATATTACAAACAGAAGATAATGTTCCCGTCGCAGTTAGCTGGGCAGCATGTATTTACCACATTTGCTCCTAAGGGAGCATTTGTATGAAATATGCTGTGATTTGCAATAGTATCTATTTGCATTTTGGGCATCTTACAGACAGCAATTTGGAACAATTTTTCCATGTGAAATTAATCTGCTTGGGTGAATCTAGTGATGCACTTGTACTTGTAATTTAATATGATATTGCTTACTCTGTCTGCTGTCATCTGCAGGTAAATTGAGAGAAAGCTAATTTTTAAGGACCTGTAGACCCAGAGGAGGTTTTTGTAATATCACAATATATCACATTTTCGCAACTTGCTTTTTCAGAACTAATGTAGAGTGACATGTCTGTGGGTTACTATACAATTAATTTCATGTTTTTATTGCATTGAAAGAGTTCCTAATATCCACAAAAAAAACTGTAGTCACTTTAGAAGACAACTTGTTCTTTTTCTAGGACTGGACTTGGGATCTTTCACCTGTGTTTGTCCCTCTCCCCTTTGGAACACCCCGCAACCCCCCCCCCCCCTAAAAAATACACTTATTTAAGGTGTCTTTAATCTGTTGATGTCATGATGTCGCAGTTCCTCTTCATCCTTTTCTTCTAGAAAAGGTGGTGGGCAGATTCTAAATGCAAAAAAGAGTGCTGATATGCATAATAAGCATGCTCCTTCAAGTCCAGGGCAGTGAGAAATCTTCAACGTCTTTCCAATCAAGCTGAAAGAGCCAGTTAACAGTGTGAATATTACAGCCAGAGCTGTGTTTTGTTGAAACAGCGAATGAGCAATGCAGAGTACAGAATGAGGAGGTGTGGAATAGGGAACGCACAGCACAGAGTACAGAATCAGATGGTATAGAATAGGGAATGTACAGTGCAGGTTACAGAATGAGGCAGTGTGGAATAGGAAATGTATAGCAGAGATTACAGAGCAAGGTGGTGTGGAGTAGGGAACATACAGCACAGAGTACAGAATAAAGTGATGTGGAAGAGGGAATGTACAGTACAGTGTACAGAATGAGGGGGTGTGTAATAGGAATGCACGACACAGAGTACAGAATGGGGGGGGGGGGGTGGAAAAGGGAAACCCACACTAAAGAGTACAGAATGAGGCAGTGTGGAAAGGGAATGCACAGTGCAGATTACAGAATGAGATGGTGTGAATAAGTATTGTACAGCGCAGAGTACAAAATAAGATGGTGTGGAAAAAGTATTGTACAGTGCAGAGTAAAGAATGAAGAGGTGTAGTAGAATAGGGAATGCACAGTGCAGAGTACAGAATGAGGAGGTGTGGAATAGGGAGTGCAGAGTACAGAATGAGGAGGTGAGGAATAGGGAGGGCAGAGTACAGAATAAGGAGGTGTGGAATAAGGAGTGCACAGTACAGAATGAGGAGGTGTGGAATAGGGAATGCACAGTGCAGAGTACAGAATGAGGAGGTGTGGAATAGGGAAGCACAGTGCAGAGTACAGAATAAGGAGGTGTGGAATAGGGAATGCACAGTGCAGAGTACAGAATGAGGAGGTATGGAATAGGGAATGCACAGTGCAGAGTACAGAATAAGGAGGTGTGGAATAGGGAGTGCACAGTGCAGAGTACAGAATGAGGAGGTGTGGAATAGGGAATGTACAGTGCAGAGTACAGAAGGAGGAGGTGTGGAATAGGGAATGTACAGTGCAGAGTACAGAAGGAGGAGGTGTGGAATAGGGAGTGCAGAGTACAGAATGAGGAGGTGTGGAATAGGGAGTGCACAGTGCAAAGTACAGAATGAGGAGGTGTGGAATAGGGAATATACAGTGCAGAGTACAGAATAAGGAGGTGTGGAATAGGGAGTGCACAGTGCAGAGTACAGAATGAGGAGGTGTGGAATAGAGGAGTGCACAGTGCAGAGTACAGAATGAGGAGGTGTGGAATAGGGAATGTACAGTGCAGAGTACTAGAATAAGGAGGTGTGGAATAGGGAATGCACAGTGCAGAGTACAGAATGAGGAGGTGTGGAATAGGGAATGTACAGTGCAGAGTACAGAAGGAGGAGGTGTGGAATAGGGAATGTACAGTGCAGAGTACAGAAGGAGGAGGTGTGGAATAGGGAGTGCAGAGTACAGAATGAGGAGGTGTGGAATAGGGAGTGCACAGTGCAAAGTACAGAATGAGGAGGTGTGGAATAGGGAATATACAGTGCAGAGTACAGAATAAGGAGGTGTGGAATAGGGAGTGCACAGTGCAGAGTACAGAATGAGGAGGTGTGGAATAGAGAGTGCACAGTGCAGAGTACAGAATGAGGAGGTGTGGAATAGGGAATGTACAGTGCAGAGTACTAAATAAGGAGGTGTGGAATAGGGAATGCACAGTGCAGAGTACAGAATGAGGAGGTGTGGAATAGGGAGTGCACAGTGCAGAGTACAGAATGAGGAGGTGTGGAATAGGGAGTGCAGAGTACAGAATGAGGAGGTGTAGAATAGGGAATGCACAGTGCAGAGTACAGAATGAGGAGGTGTGGAATAGAGAGTGCACAGTGCAGAGTACAGAACGAGGAGGTGTGGAATAGGGAATGCAGAGTACAGAATGAGGAGGTGTGGAATAGGGAATGCACAGTACAGAATGAGGGGGT